GACAATTTCATTGATTTGAGCGAGGACGAGATTGTTGGTGAGAGTACTTGTAGTAGTAATAGTAATAAGGGCAATCGACATGTGACCCTTGAGGAGTTAGGTGTTACGGTCGAAGATCTCAAGAGTATGGCATGGGAAGTGTTTGATCCGATATGGGAGATTAGGTCAGAGACTATGGATCCATGGCTTGGTGGCTACGTCAAAGACATCATATCTCCGGATCATTATAATTCTCACGCTTAATTGTTTGTTTCTTTTTCGTTAATCGCTTTTAATGTTGCTTATTGTAGAACAAACTTCTACTAGAGTAATCTTGTTAATCATATGTTCATGTTGTTTATCAAACAAAAATAATAATACTAATATGTTTGTTGTATTTTTAGTAATTTTCTTCTGAATATTTTCGTGGAATCTTATCTTTCATTGTTGATGGTCTTAATCTGTAGATGTAACACAGATTCTGTTTCAAATTTTCTGACAAGTTTCCGTTGGAAATTCTCGATCTTTGGTCAGATTTGACCACTCTGTGTTTTGATGTCTACATTTTTCAAGAACTGACAAAGATATCTGATTGATGTGCAGATCTCAGAGATCACTCTAAATCTCATAGTTGCTTGGTCTGTTTATAGAATGTCAAGTGCCGATTCACCTCATGAAGCATTGTCACCTAAGGACAAGTTAGATCCCATGGGTCAAGACTTGAACCAAAACACCAAGAACTTGCTCTTCAAGAAAAAGAAGACTGCGTCGCTCTGGAACCGCTCCTCGTGGTGATTGTATGAACGATGATGATCTCAAAATTGACGATCCACCTCCTCATCCAAGTAACATTCCCATGTTCAAGGATCTAAACCCGAATCTCATTTGATTGATCATGTTCTTGGTTATATATCTAACCTTTGGTATATATAATATGGATTTACACGAACATATTTATTACCAAACTGAATTTTGCTATTGAACTGATATAAAGCTCTGGTTCAAGACGGGGAATGACAAATATTGATCTCGAAGCAGCTGATCTTGATGAAGACGGAGTCGTCGGGTAAGACATGAAACGTA